ATATATATACTATATATATATATATATATATAATTTACAAATATTTAATAAAAATGTAGTGAACTGAAAATCTCAGGTAACCTAAAAAAATATGCTTCATGTCATTAGAATGAACTGGTTTTACTCAAAAATACAATTTCATAAAAATATTTTAATATGACCTAAATTAATAAACAGGATTACACCAATGAATGTAATTTTTAAGGGTAAGATCAGGGAGAATTTTGTTTTACTTCATTAAACTACACTATATACTCTACAGTCAGTGGCTTATGTTCGGTCTGCAAGCTACAGCATAAATCTGGACTTTAAACTTGGAGTTTAGCTTCTTATTTAAAGTATGCATACAGTATGAATTATACAGTATATATGCGATCTGAGAGATTAAACTATATTTAGCTTCTGCCTTCAACTGAGCCTTTAGGGAGCAAAATAACAACATTTAGTTGCTACAGTACTTAGTTACAGCCTTCAGAGTAAGAAACAAAATTTGTATTTATATAATTCTTGAGTCTCTTTGGGACAAGCTGTTTTACTCAGGGCCCTCAGAGGTGTAGCAAAAGTGCAAGAGGAAGCATATTTGCAAAACCAGGGCAAGCAATTACCAAACCCACCAATCTAGTCGGTCTTCCCCTCCTCCCCTTTTCCTTTTTTAATGGCCTGATCTGGAGCCAGGAGCGCTCTGTGCTGCTATGCCCTGTAGGTACAAACCTCCAAAGCCCTGGATAGAGAAAGCCTGCTGTCACTTGGTGGAACATTTGTAGACATCATAAACAAATAAAATCCAAACAGACAAGGAATCTCCTATTCTCTAAATGCTAAAGGCCTACAAAGAGATAATGAGGGAAGCTGTTCATTTGTATAAGAAAGAATCTTTCTTAGTGGCCTTAATTCTGAAAAGGGCTTTTCACACCGTGTTTAACCACAGGTTATCGTCGTTCTAAACTCCTCTTTTAAAGGTACATTTCACACTAATTTAAAATTTAAAATTAAAAATGTAATTTAAAAGCAGGGTTGACATTGCTTTTTACCTGGGGTTATGCTTTTGCACTATTAACCCTGCATTGTGCTATCAAACTTGCAAGTATGTTACGGTTAGAAGCAACCAATCATGTGCCTCATACCATCGTTTTGGCATTTATACAGTAGAGATGAAAAACATTGAATTGAAGTGATAAAGAGGCTTATGTCTTTTATTGTCCAACAAAAATGCCATTCAGCAAAAAAATTAATTGAATAAAAAAGCTGAAATCACCCGCCTTGCTTCCACAGAAGCATCACACTGCTTAAAAATCCTGGATATTATGACAGATCCTGAAATCTTTATACATTACCGTTACATTTTTTTTTCTATAAAGATTAATGACATTTTAACACACTGTTGCATTGTTGTATTGCAATTCCATGCACATCCTGTCCCATATTCCTCATCTAATTCTTCATAATCCTGCTCCTCAGGGCCCTCTTGTTCAGTTTAACCGCCACCTCCTTTTGCCCCACTTTTTGGAGGTGGGCACATCAGGCCTGAAAACAAAAATCTAGCGGTCTGTTTTAAAATAGCACTCATTCTGCTTCTCTCCGGATTCTGTTTTAGAAGAAGAAAATGTTACTGTTGTAGCACGGTACCTCGGAGTGACATTTGGTTCATCCGTACCCTGCTATTTGTGGCTTGAAATGCCGTAGTCATATGAGCGGTGCTAAATCACTATTTCTCTTGCACACATCCTTTCTTTCCTACAAAAACGAACCATCAGCCGTTATTCCATTATGTTCGAAAAGACATTTTAATAACTCTTGGCATCTGCGAACCCCAGATATGTTTTAATGAAAGTATTGAAGTAAAATAAATCAAAGCAATATGTTTGCAACAACCTACAACCTCTTGCAGGGGTCACATGCAGGCATGTATGGTGATCCCTGCTGCCCCAGGTGAAGTAGGAAGCTCTGCTCAAGTTTAAAGAAAGACTTCAGGGTCAATAGCGGCACAGGGTGAGGGAAAGGAGCGTGAAGGGGAGGGGATGGGAGACGAGAAGGGTGGAGGTGGAATTCTGTGGTTGGTGTACTAAACTCTCATTCCTACGGTGGCCGAGAAGTGCTAAACAAATCACAATTCTGAAATCAAAATAACAAATTACAAACGCAAATGCAAGTTTAAAAAACAAAATAACAATTCAGAAAGCACAACAACAATTCAGAAAACATTATAACAAGTCAGAAAACACAATGACAAATCCGAAAACAAATTTACAAGTCAGAAAACACAACGACAAATCAGACAAACCGGAAAAGGTAGGTATAGTTTGAGACAGCCCATTGGTTTGGGATTACTCACCGCTGACTGGACGAGACATCTGTCAATCAACGTATACAGGATTGTGTTTTCTGACTTATTATAATGTTTTCTGAATTGTTGTTGTGCTTTCTGAATTGTTATTTTGTTTTTTAAACTTGCATTTGCGTTTGTAATTTGTTATTTTGATTTCAGAATTGTGATTTGTTTAGCACTTCTCGGCCACCGTACATTCCTCTCTAGCTCTCAGGCAACACATAAGCAAGCATGACTGACCCCAGAACAGAATTTCAAGCAGAACAAAACACTGTATAAGGTGTAACAGCATGAACTCTCAAACAAAACCTGCTGGTCAGACAGGCATACATTATTTAATAATATAAGTTAATGATGATACAGGATTTGATTTTTCCCAATATTCTGCAAAAAAAAAAAAAAAAATCCAAAATGACAGCTTAACAAATGAATAAACATGACATTTTTTGTTATTTAGATGACCTTTATGCATTTCTATTGTTTAAGATTTTTTAAAGGTCAAACATCATCATGTTCAGACTGAACACAATATTTAGTTTCAAAATCATTAAATAATCCTGTAATTTTAGATTTTATTATTATTAGATTTTATTTTTAGATTTTTAGTTGTAATTTTTTGAAAATGTTGTGTTTTTGTCATTTTTATTGTATTTTTTTTAAATGATTTTAGTATCGCCTTGGCAACTAGCTTAGTTTGAATGATTTTAGTACTGCAACTTGAAATGAAAATGTGAAATATCGCCTAGTTGATATAAAATAAGTTTATATATATGATTACACATATACATACAAACACACACACACACACACACACACATATATGTATGAGATCTTTGATGTTTTAAAAGGCTAAAAGTAAAAAAAAAATGCTTCTTTACATATACAAAAGTGCTTTATTTGAATATTCAGATTTTTCTGATTTTACAATTAAATAAACCTTGACAAAAGATACCAGCTAACTAAACTGTTATCACATAAAAAAATTGTGGAATTTTTTGAAGGGTCTGTATCATATGCAGATTTTAAGTTGAAAGAATTAAAACGGTGAATTTTTCCTATTTTATTTTATTTTATTTTATTTTTACATTAAATCACATTTTCAACAGATTTGTCGGTATCTGGGTGTGTGGTAACGTCAGGCCTTATCGCTTAATATGCAAATACGTTGGTATTTAATGAGATTGCATATTTAAAAGTTTAAAGGGGTAAGGAAAATGAAAATCTGCACGCAAACATGCAAATTTCTTCTTCGTATGTTTTGTTTTGGCTGCGTTACGTATCTGGATGCATGGCCACCGTGGACTGCGCCTCACTGTAACAACTTTTCGTGGTATTTTCCTCCCAGTTGAGGAGAGTTTCTATAGAGACGCCTCATGTTGCTGGTGTGACGGTTCCTGCTCCGGTGGAAAGTAACCAATGAGCAGCAGGAGTGCGGGTGTCTGGTTACTCCCTCTCTCCAGCGAGCAGGAGGGCTCACACAGACGGAGAGAGATATCTGAACCTTACGGGCTGGAAGGGTGACTCGGCTTCCCAAAGGAACCAAAGACGCGCTGCCCGTTTTCAGCCGCGTTAAGATCATCTCAATTTACGTGCAGGGTGCACGTTTTTACGCATTATTCTTTAAGAAGAAACCAAGGAGTGCGGGTTAAATTTTTTTTTAAATGGAGATCATGGACCTTACGGTCGAATTAGTTCTTATGAAGTAAAACCTGTTGCCAGTTCGACCCGAGCTGGTTTTCCATTTCAGGTTTGCTGGTGGATGTGATGCTGGACTCTTGTTTGCGCACTGGCTGGTAGTTGGAGCGAAGTTTGAAGTTGTAGGCCACTTATTTGCGAGGTAAGTTTATGTTTTAACATCAATGCTTTCTTCAGTTTGATGCTGCTGCTTGCAAAGTTTACCAGCGTTTATATTGGTCTATAAACCGCGCAAGTAGCTTTGCGCTGGCCATGAGGCACCAGGCTTTGGATTAGGAGAGCTTTTTTTATGTGTATATTCGAGCAAAAATGCGACTTTTATTCGAGTTTTATCATCACAGACTAAAGACAATTTCAAGAAGGCGTAATGTATGTAAAATATAAGCGCTGCAATTACAAAATATGTCAAATGTTGCACAGTGTTGGATGGTGGAGCAATTTGGAAGTAACCGCAGGTGTTTAACTTGTATCTGATGAAGGCCATTGGTACACTTGAGCGATAGTTTTGTGCCTTTAACATATAGTTTTAGTCAGTAATATTGAAATGAACGACTTTTGTGTGTTTATTTGGTAGAATTATTGATGATATGTCGCTGTTTTGGCTCCTTTTTGTAGCCTGACCACCAAATCATCACATTACAGGTCTAGTGAACCCTTTAATGGGGAATTTTTAGTTATAAAAGTTAAAAAGAATGTGGTCTTAACACAAAAGATTCAAGCTAACACTAAAGTGCAATGAAGGAAAAATACAAATTTGACAACTATTGTACATGTAAACACCATAGTACATGAATGTGGTAATGAAAAAGAGTTTTAATATTTTGATATTGTGATGTCCAGGCCTAGTTTTGTGCTGCTTGTCAGTATTTCAATGGATTATTCAATGGATTATTACCTGACATAGAAATCCCAATCTCAGTAAAATCACTTTTATCAAATCCGGTAATCACAAATGACCTGAAAGTAATGTAGAAAGTGTCATTTAAGTAACAAATTATAATCACAGACCATTACTAAGCTATGTTACCACCACAGTACTTATTAGAAGATTGTACTTTGCTTTTTATATCCTAATGACCACATCATCAGTTTGAGAAAGCTCTCATCCTCAGATCAACTTCGGCTCGCCAAAGCTGTCATTTGAGAGCTGAAACTTGTCATTTTTAGTCTGTTTATATCTCACGATGCCACTCCTGATCTAATGGCAGGGGGAACTGTCTCTTTCCAGTGTAAACATGAGCAATTCTTATGAAATTGCACTGTGTGGTTTGCAGTTCACAGAATTAGCAGTAAAAGAGAAGCTTCTTGCACAGAGGAATGTTCCTGACAGTGAGGGTGTCTGATTCATCCAGCCATAGTTATAGGGGCCAATACGAGTTCTTGTTTTCTTTTGTGCGGTGGTCCGAAGGTTTGTTTTATCCTCCACGCCAAGCTCAATGGATCTTTTGTTTCAGGTCTCCATTGCAGTTTGAGCGCTGCTTACATCTGGGTTGTGCGAATCTGGCTTGGTAATCTTGCCTACAGAAATATCTCAAAGTTCATTCGTGCAGGACAGGAGATGGTTCAGACTTAGTAGTCCAACTTTGACAGTTCAGTCTTTCAGTTTTAGCCTGTGTGTTTGAGCGCTTTGTTAGACCGAAATTGGATGGATGTGAAAGTAGGCCGATGGTGAAAGCGGTTTACCTACGTCCAGTGCATGAGGTCACCTTCGGCTGTCTGAATCCAGCTGCTATGTATTTTGGTGAGCTACGAGTTTGTCCGATAGATTATGGTGCTTATTATGTGATGTAACAGCCATTTGGATGGTGCATTTGACAGGTGACTTGAGGGTAAGAAAGGGCGCGAGTGCTGGTTTGCTTGCGTGTAATACGTTTGTGTAAATGTTTATTCAGTTTCCTAACATTTGGTTGAATGGGAAGCTTCTGTAGGCGACTTTGAGAAAGTGTCTCAACAATCTTGGTTGGCGTCTGGTTTCACAGAAAGAATAACATAAGTTTCAAGTTATTTTAAGCAGCTTTGTGTCGTCCACTGGTTTTTCCACTCATGCTCTAAGTAGATCTTTCTCGCTAGATTGTGAAACGAGTTCAATGGAAGTCTCAGTTTTGATGGCTGCCTGGATCAAACCCCACCCTCACACCTTTGATGCTAATTCTGCTCCTTCAGCATGTTATTTTGTTCTGGCCTGTCTCCACTGAGGAAATTCCATCTCTGCTGAACCGCAGTTCAGTGCGCTTTTACACGCCAGGCGCGCGCAGCTCAGGTTTTTAGTTCAGTCATCTATGTGAGGTGTTTTCCTGAACATCACTTTGGAAAGTGCATTTGCAATCTCTTTTGCACTCTGCTTTGTGCTTATTCTGAGAAAATGCTTTTAAAAGCATTTTTATATTTATGCTCTACAGATTTAGTTTTCTGTTCCGAGTCAGCGCTGATGCATATTTTTAATGATGTTTTGGAATAAATGGATTCTTGAGTACAGAAATAAAGCTTTAAATGTTTTATAGAATGATACACTACTGTTCAAAAGTTCAGGGTCGGTAGTTTTTTAAATTTTTTAAATAAAGAAATTACTTTTTATTCAACAAGGATGCATTAAATTGATTAAAATTGAGATTTTTGTTACAAAAGATTTCAATTTCAAATAAATGCTGTTCTTTTGAATGTCTTATTCATCAAAGAATCCTGAAAAGTCAGTTTCCATACAAATATTAAGCAGTACGACTGTTTTCAATGTTGATAATATCAAATGTTTCTTGAGCAGCAGATCAGCATATTAGAATGATTTCTGAAGGATCATGTGACTCTTAAGACTGGAGTAATGATGCTGAAAATTCTGCTTGCATCACAAGAATAAATTATGTTTTAAAATATATTCAAATAGAAAATGGTTATTCTAAATTGTAATAATATTTCACAATATTACTGTTTTTACTGTATTTTTTAATCAAATAAATGCAGCCTTGGTGAGCATAGGAGACTTCTTTAAAAAAATTTTTTAAATAATAATAAAAAAAATCTTACAGACTCTTCTTCTAATATTTGATTTGACACAAATAACTATTTTTTTATTTTTGTTTTAACATGATGCAAAGGTGATGTGGGTGGTTGCCAGGATGTTCCTGTGTTGTTGCTAGAGTTAATATTCTTTTCTTGTGTTGCGGTTAACAAGGCGTGCAAAGTAAGCTTTAAAATAAAAACGTTCATCCTGTTTTGGGATTGTAGCTTTTTTTTTTTCATGGATGCTTCACATATTTTGGGTTTTTCCAGGATGGAAAGTTATTGAAAGCTGATTTAATGTGCATTCTACCAGTATATTCAATTCAAACTGGGCTGTTGTCCCGGGCACAGTGTATAGTACCTTTGGCTTAGGCTCAATGGCGGACATCAGTGCATCTGACCAAGAGAAGCAGCCGCGAGTGGGCAGTTTTATTCCGGAGGCCTCTGGTTTTCTCTAGAACTCTACTTTAGAGTCTTAATTACTGATCACACCATTGGGAGAAGAAAAAAGGCTGTGGAAACCACCCACCCACACTGATCTTGGATCAGAGCCGCCCTATGTGAATTGCAAACTGTACCATTATGAAATGGATTGCAAAACTGACATTAAATCAGAATTAAAGGGAGGATCTAGCAAACACTGAATGTAGAAATGGTTTTGGCATTGAAATAGATTTGGAAGGGTGGAAGTATTAAATATATACTGTATTTTTGCAATGTTTTTGCTAGTGATGGTAAATTTCGCAATGATTTTAAAGTGCTTTAGTCATTGAGTTTCCTGAAAACGGTCATTAGATTAGTTTCCTAATTTAACGGCATCTCTGATTTAACTTTTAGTGGTTTTAGAGTTGGATTTAACAGCATTCAGAACAGATCAGGAATGGAAAAATGGAAAAAGTATAAAACAAACATCAATTATCTTGGCATTCATTATAAGCAACATTTATTATAAACACCAAACTTTAACAAATTTATGTTGGAAAAGAACTCCACAAATAAACCAGCTTAGGCTCGCATACTGTACCTCTCTCATTCGGTACAAATCCAAATATGTGTGCTTTGCACGTTTCACATGCTTGCATTATGTAATTCGATGCAAATTATGTAAGTTGACGCATGTTTCAGATGATAAAATCGTGACTTATTGCAGTAGATTATTATTTTTCACTGTTATTTATTTTTAACTAATTTTTAACTATTTTACTTCATAAATTAAACTTTAAAAACTGGTGATGCTCATGAAGGAAAGAAAAAGAAAAAAGGAGGAGTTGTTTGGTGTAATTCTGGTCCCCATAGAAACCTTGTTATTAGTAGAAATGGGAGGAAGTAGAGTAGTAAGGGCCAGGGACAAGGGTAGAAATGATTGACTGAGCAACGAACGATCATGATGAACTTGCACAAGCAAAGTGGTGGAATAGGAAGAGAGAAAAGAAGATCAGGGGCTGGGTCGATCTTTCAGCCAAGTAGTGACTCATCCAGGGTAAAAGGGAGTTTTACCTTGTAAAAGTGTGTGTTTTGTTTTCGCTGCTGAAAATATGCACTGATTCATCATGGTGCAGTGATCTGGTCCTTCCAGTCACCTGTGCTACTGCAGATAGAAGTCTACTGTTCTCATATGCTTTTAGAGTCGCATGTTGGCAGAGATTATGGTGCAATACAATTGTAAAAGCTGACTTTTTAAAGAAGTGGTTCTCGGTTTTGCTCAGATTCCAGAGTTTAGTTTTGAAATCAAGTAGCGGCACAATACATAAAGGTTTAATTGTTTAGAACTAAAAAAAACTGTTATGTAGCTGCTTAGGCTATATAATAGATAATTATATATATTGATTAAAAATACAGAAAAAAAACTGTTATTTTGTGAAATATAAATAGGCTATATGTGCACTGATAATAAATCAGCATATTAGAATGATTTCTGATAAATAAATAAATAAATATATATATATATATATATATATTTTTTTTTTTTTTTTTTTTTTTTTTTTTTTTTTATTTATTTAAATTATATTATATTTATGGAATTGTTTAATATATTTTTATATGTAATCTAAAAAATACAATTATTTTATTGTTTTTACTGTATTTAATTATATAAATAAACTTTATATAAATTAGATAAACATTATATAAATATGTATTTATGTAATA